ACTGCTTGCATGTCTCTGCCATGAATCCAATCGGCACAATTGCCAGGACAAATCCAAGGCTGCAAGCTCCAGCTGCTGTCATCTTCCATTTCCCGCAGGTGTCTCAGTCAGGATCGGCATTCTGCAGATGCCACCTCGTATTTATCCCAGCGCAGGGAGCAGGTGTTCGACTTCGAGACTCGGCTTGTTCCTGTGTGATGCATATCTGCACTCGATCCTTGGAATTGTGAACCTCGTGCTTGGCAAGTGGTTCATCTGCTGCAATCAATGGTTGCCTGGGGTGGATCTTTGTCATTCCATGTTAAGAGTCAAGTCTCCAGTTCAGCTCTAAGATGCGGGGCAAGTGTCTCTGCAAGTCATCGGAGACATGGCTAGATTGACAGGTCACCGTGTTTCGGCGGCTAGATGATCGGCATTGGCAGCTTGATAAAAGTACGGCGAGCCTCGGCGGGATTGGTTCCATCCTGGAAAGGGTGCTTGTTATCAGGGCCTACTGCTTCTTTAGCTAGGCAGTCAGTCTGCTGTATTATTCCCTAGATCATTATAGCAGCCCAGAACCCATTAGAAACGGAGGTAAATCCTATACATATTTAACTCCCTAGCTAATTAGAGGATGGCCTAGATGATATACTACCCTATCTTATTCTGTAAATTTACTATTACTTATAATATACATATACTATTAGTTAGGATCGATACTAGCTCACTGCTAGTACCTGAGCCCTCTTTCTTCTTCTGCAAGCTAATAGACTAAACTAATAGCATAGTATATTAACTAGTTACTATAAGCTCTGCTGTGTCAGCCATCTGCTTGACGTAATTACACTGATTAATATCTATTAAACTAATACTAATCTACCAGAACTAGATAATATTTCCTCTAGGGTTAATTGCGGCCCTTTTTATGACGAGCCATCGCGTACCAATAAGGCAAGGATCGGTTATCATTAAAGGAGTCACACCTGAGGAGGTTTCAGCTGCATTCTTCTCAGTGTTAAACAAGTCAACCGGATGATTCAGTCAGCTTTCCTATATCATTGGGCAGAGAGCTTATTGTGATTTGAATAACAGAATCAGATATGTGCCCTCCGCATGAGATGTTCGTTCAGCATTCCTACATCAACGAATATTAGGCGGCTAAACAATAACGTATCTCTGCTTGCAGTATCAGAGTAATGCTAGTATTCTACATTTATCACGCCTGCTGTGGCTTAACAGGCCAACTGCCATCTTGGATATCCCAGGAAGTTCTAAATCGTTGATTATTCACCTTTAAAGGCCTCCTAGCCATCTTATATGGACGGTAAAAGATAACCCGAACCAGAATGGACCTACTGGGGTTTTGCAAAGCTGATCTAAAATCTGTCAACGCTTCTGTCATCCTCCGCTTCAAGCTTTACATACTGTGATTGTCGGAGGAGGACGGGACAAAATACCGATCAGTTGCCTATTGCAGTAGGCTGCGGACGAAAGCAAACGTTGAGGAATGTACATGCGAGGGACACCTGGAGACTGTCAATGTGACCCTCGCCCTTCATTCCAGTACTATCTGGGATAACCGCAGGATAAGTTAAAGTGGGGATTTATCAATTTCGGATACTTATAAACCTCATACAGACTATTTCCTTACATGTGGAATACTCAAATTATCTATGTTATTCAATCAGTTCTAGTCCATCATCAGACTGAAGTATCATCAAGGTTCTCTTAACCATAGAAAACATGGCTGAACTTAAACCCTACAGTTGCCATTTTTGCCATAAGTCCTTCAGAACGACCGAGGGAGCTGCTGCTCATACAATCGATGTTCACCACCTCCAATGTCCACAGTGCCCGATGAGGTTTGAGTCTGCCGCCGCGAGAGCAAGGCATCAGCATACTAAACGCCATTTCAAATGTGCCCGTTGCCATCTCTCTTCAGGTTGCGACTACGCTGGACAGCCTACCACTGAACCAATCCCACCCGCAACTCACCAACCGCCACTTGCCCAAGTCCCTTTGGTCTTGAGGACCTGCAAGTTATGCAACAAACAATTTCGCAGTAAATCAGCCCTCGCCAATCACGAAAGAGATTCTCATACAGTGACCTTTCGTTGCTGCCCATGTAATCAGGAGTTTTCGAATGAGAATGCTCTTCGGCAACACCTTCGGAAAAAAAAACACTGCAAAACAGAAACAACATCCTCCCACAACTGTGGAGAGTGTAAGAAGAGCTTTAGGTCTCAGGCCGCACTCAGACAGCATCAAGAGTCTACTGTTCACAAACCTCTAGCTAATCTACACTGTCTGGGCAATACATGCCGACTCACATTCAATTCGCCCTCCGCACTCTTTCACCACTTAGAGAGCAGGAGTTGTTCCTCTGGCTGGACTCAACATAAGGTGAACTCAATATTGCATCGGTACAACAAGGACCGCATTCTCACCACCAACATCATCTCATTGGACACAATGTTCAGCAGCATGACTGGAAGTCCATCAATATCCAGCATCTCAGATTTGGCCATTCTGACACCTGATGAATGCAGTGGGGATGATGATGATAATGATGATGGAGGAAATAAGTTTTCATTAGGAACAATGACATCATCACTCGCGGGACAATCATTCCCATGTGCTGCTAAGAGCTCAGCATGCATAACAAATCTGTTCTGCCCTCTGTGTCTTGCAACAGGCAATAAAAGGGTTTTCAAGGATCTGAATGCTTTAACTGCACACATTTCATCCGCAGCACATGCTGAGAAGGCCTTCAGATGCCCTATAGCATTTCCAGGTGACAAGAATAAGGCATCAGGTCCTGTGAAGCCAAAATTCTTCACCACTCTTAGTGGACTTACCCAACATTTAGAGAGTGGTCAGTGCAAAGGAGGGAAATATACGCTATGGAGGGCCCTTGATTATCTCCAGAAAGATATCCTTCAACTTGAATGGCCGGGAAAGTTGTTGCAAAGTTAGGCTGGGCATCTCTATCTGTGTTGAGCCCTGAGTCAAATACACCATAAGATCCACTTGGCCACGTTCAATACATCTACCTGTGACCTCTGTACAGTACAAGCCTAATGCTAGCTTCCCAGTCAGGTTTGAATAATTGGCCACTGTCATGATAGAATCTGTAAAGCTTGTTTCGCGGATATATTTGTTATGCAGATTTCTCCGGAGTAGATCGAAGCAGAATGAGCGACACACACACTAGAAAATGTCTTACTAAGTAATTCTCAGCAATATCCATAGATGATTTGTGATGGTGAGGATCCTGGGTCACTTTGTGAATAACTGGGGTCTAGTTCTTCCGGTGTGATATAGTCATTAAAGGTAATGAAGTTCTCATCTGATTCAGTAGCAGAGTATACTGACTCTGTGTGATGTCTGTCTTTATGCTTAAGTTCTCTAATTTATGATTGTTATAGCTGTCCCAGGGCTGCTGTAACTCTGCTATGAGATCCTCTTTTCCCTAAAATTAGCTCTCATTATTGAAACTAACGCCACACTCGACGCGCTCGAGGCTTGTGTGATTTATATTATACCAGTTGCTCCGCATCTAGAATTACTTAGGTCATTATAAAGCACACATTGTGCACTGTGCCAGTGTCGCAACATGCCTATTTGAAAGGCCTTGTCAAAGATAGTGCCCCCTCAAGAAGGCGGGCCATTAATAGACATATTATGGAGGGCTTGAAATTTCACTGCGGCCTAACAGGTATTAGCAGCGTACATTCAGCCACAACCAAGCATCGACATAGCATTGGCCCTCTACTATAAAGTGTGCCGTTCCCGTTGGCGATCGGCCATTTAGCGCTCGAAGTAGAAACTATTCCACTTACCCAGTTTTGGCAAATACTACAGAGAACTATAACAGGTAGATGACAACTAGCAAACATTAATACTGTGGTTTGTACTCGGTTCAAAAGGAACCATCTTCTTTTTTTATTGTTGCTGCATGTATTACCTACTGTCACTACCGTCATGATATTCAACAGCATGTATTCAGATATCAACTCGTCACATAGTGCGGATATCAGTTGCCATACTCTGGGATATATAATTCGAATACGCAGTACTATTGGTGAGCCCATATCTGTCCATATATAGATCAATATAGAGTTACAACAATACTAGGTACTACCATATGATATCCCACTATATATACTATGTTTAGGGCGGGGTATCTGTGATCTAGTAAAAATTACATGAGTCCCATGTATAAACAGACCCTATATTAGTGTTTGCTACAACTGCTTAACCTACATTAGTTTAACTATAGTTCGCCCAAGGAATACAGCAGTCAATAAGTCAAGGTGACGTCAAGTGGAGCATCATTCAATGTTATATACTGAGTACGTGGTGAATCGGTCAAGGGACTGCTTGGAAGGGAGATAGCTCAGTCTTCTCCAGAGGGGTGTTGATATGTAATGAGCCTTTCTGCGAGCAATGCCCGTTAACATACCCACTGATCCTAGCATGACTTAGAGTCGAGCAGACTAGGATGTTTTATAAAGGTGGTTACTTGACCTTGCATTTCTTCCTTGTTGATAAGGGCTGCGATCAGTTTATAAGAACACCTATCTTTACCAAACCCTCCACAGAGTGTTAGATGCTCGCTCCCGTTTGCTTGAGTATTACAGAAAGATCCTCGGTCCTGTCTTCATTCCTTCACATTTCCTATGTTGTCCAATTGGTCCTAATCAATCAAGACGGGAATGATCTGGCAATTCGCTTACTCCAGCTAGACCACAAATCAGTGTAGTAACTGCTAATAATAGTCATTAATACTATCAATGAGAAATTAGAACATGGAGGCCTTGAAAAGCTGCTAATAGTAGATGGTCGATGGGATGCTTTACTCGGGACTTAGCAAACCGCGCTCGGGAGATACTAAACCCCGAGCTACATATTAGGTCAAGATATATAAAGCATCTGCTTGGCAGTCTTCTGCTTACCTTCACCACTGAACAGAAACAACAACATTCTCTTCTACTCAATTCGAATCCTTTTATTTGTATATGATGTCCCCCAGAATCGCCATCATCGGCGCCGGCCCCGCAGGCCTGACTCTCGGCGCCCTCCTGCACAAACACACCATCCCATTCACCATCTTCGAGCTACGCCAGAAACCCACAGCCGAAGAAGTAGCAAAACCATCCGGCATGCTCGATCTCCACGAAGGCTCCGGCCTCGCCGCCATCCGCGAATGCGGGTTATACGACGACTTCCTCAAGCACACGGGGGACTGCGCCGAGACGCAAATTGTCGCTGATAAAGACGGGAACATTCTCTACAGCGATGAGGATGACAGCAATAACCGACCGAGTGATCGGCCAGAGATCGCCCGACATGCACTGTTGGCTATTCTCAGCAGCAAAGTACCTGAAGCCTCCATCAAATGGGGCCACAAGCTCCTCTCCGCAAGGCCTACCGGCGTCAGCACAGAAACAGAGCTGGATTTTGGCCATCAAGGAAAACATACATTCGACCTCGTCATCGGCGCAGACGGCGCGTGGTCAGCGGTCCGCGCTCTCCTAACGGATATCAGACCGCAGTACGCCGGAACCCAAAATATCACCCTGACCATCGAGAATATCAGCACGCGGTACCCGCACCTCGCAGCGCTGATTGGGCGAGGGAGCTTCTTGTCGCTTGGGCTGCGGCATGGGGTGATTACGCATCGGGGCCCGCGCGATTCAGCGCGTGTGTATGTCTTCCTCACGGCGGATGAGATGTTTGGAGGTGAGGGGGTGCGAGTGGCTACTGTAACGAAGGAGGAGCTGCTGAGTGACGATGCGCACCTGGGGAGGTTTGGAGACTCTGTAAAGGAGTTGGTTGCTGCTGGTGTTGCATGCGATGAGAGCGTGGAGCGGCCTGGTGGGGTCGTTGATGTCAAACCGCTGTATATGCTGCCTATTGGCTCTACGTGGGAGCATAAAACTGGCGTGACGATTGTAGGGGACGCGGCGCATCTGATGTGTCCGTGGGCTGGGGAGGGGGTCAACCTTGCGATGTGTGATGCGCTGTTCCTCGCGAAGGTTATTGTCGAGGCGTGGGAGGATGGACAGGATGTTAGCCAATTTCAGGCTGCGCTGGATCCGTTACTGAGGCAGTTTGAAGAAGATATGGTGGCGCGTGCAAAGGAAAAGGCGGAGGAGACGGTTGGCAATGGGCAGATGATGTTTGGGGAGAATGGAGCAAATGGTATGGCTGAGTTCTTTTTGAGCATGGGACAGGGACAGTGATGGACTGTCATACTGAGCGATATGAGTATTTGGTCTTATTGTCAGGGAGCAGGGGTATAGCGCTATATAGACTTCATAGGTCATCTTCATAAGAGAAATATCCCACGACCTTTGGAAAGCGAACACAGGCGTCATGTTCGCACTATGTCATCATGTGGAGTAGATACATTCTGGCCAGACCATAGCATCCATAGTAACCCTATCAATGGTTGGCTAGAACAATAGACAGTGTTATCGAAGCTCTCACAACGACCCATAGGAGCCCTGTTGATATCAACCAGTCAATCCGCAAAATACGCAAACGGCAACAACTCCTCCACGCGCACACCCCTGGGCTCCCCCCGATCAAGCACAATAACCTTAATCCCCGGCTGCAAATCAATCAGCGTCTGCCGGCAGCGTCCACACGGGCTGAGGATGCCTCGGTTTTCATTCGCGACTGCAACGATATGCGTTAACTGCGTGGCTCCAGCCGCTGCAGCAGACCCCAGAACGACGAGCTCGGCGCATGGACCGCCGGTGAAGTGGAAGACGTTGACGCCGGTGAAGATGCGGCCGTCGGTAGATCGCGCGGCGCTGGCGACGCTGTAGGTATCTGAGATGGGGATGCTGGTTATAATTGAGGTGGCGGCATCGACGAGGGCGGTTTCCTCGGGTGTGAGGGGCATGATTCGTAGCTGGTTGTGGTAACTGCTTAGATACAAAAGGCAATGGAGTGTTATGGACATGCTGAGGATGGAGGATTCGTGGGCTTCTTATAAGTCGTCGTGGTTGTGGCGGGCTCCGGATTGGGAAAGCCGGCGCTCCACTGTGATATAGTCAGATGGCAAATATCAAATTATCATATAGTAGGAATGTTGAATTGTATTTATTTGTATCTAGAAAGAGGGAAGATTATCCTGGTATATAAAATTATTTTATATCCCACTGTAGGATTGATTGTGAGTAGTGGCAATAGGTAATATATGCAGTGACACGGTCACTACGACTATATGCACTCCCTGCAGAGGGCTTTCGGGCCAGCATTTTGGTTTTAGCATCTTCCAGTCACGGAGCAGAGGGATGAGCAAGGGCGAATTGAAATGAGACCATCGAATCTCCGTCTACATATAGTATCTGAAATTCCATCCCAATAATCATCAAATTCCTGCACAACGATTAATTCGGAAGCTCTGGCCCTTTGAACATCATATCTTGGCTTTCTCCGGCTCGATCAAATCGGAAATATGTAGTATAAATCTCGTCTCCTGTAACAAGCGATGTCCGAGAATACTGCCTCGTACTCTTCGTCAATTGCCAATTGGGTGGCTCTCCGAATGCCAGCGTACCAGCAAGGTGGTTCCATGCTTGAATGTGCCCAGCGTTCATTTGCTCGAGCTTTTGATTGTAAACGTCAGGAATTTCATCGACGCCGATGGTTATGGACTTCCTGGCCAGGGTGAAGCAAAGGACCAGAACAAATGCGAATATCTCAGGGCGCAGGAAGTGGATCGCTGCGAAGCAGACTATATGGTCGACGCCCTCGGCAAAGCGATCCCGGTTGAGCAGAGCTTGCTCCATCGACTCGATATGAACGGCTTCATACACACCGCTGCTCCGGCAGATATCCCCCATCTGGGCGGATATGTCAAAGCCCAGCAACAGGCTACCTTTCGAGGGGTTGGTTTCTGTCAACACACGTCCGAAAACACCCGTGCCGCAGGCGAGATCAAAGACTGTTCCGCCAAAGTCATACGTCTCTGTCAAGTTTCTAATAGTCGCGGCAATGGTGCTGCCGTTGGATTGGACTGCATCGTATTTCGAAGCGAAGTCATCGTACGAGGCAGCAATTTTCTCCTTGGCATGCCGTTGCGCTGGGTTTCGAAGCAGGTGGTTCGCGATGAAAATATTGATGACCGCCGGGTATCCTCCGGGGAGACTGTGTACGATGGGTAGATCCCGGCATGGCCCTTCGGGTATGAAAGCCGCAGGCTGGGGGTCGACCTCAATAGCGAAGACGTCGCCATTCGGCAGAGCACGAAGAGTAACGGCGCAGCCCATGTTGCTGCCTTGACACCCACTAATCATGAAAGCGTCAATTGCGACGGTTTGGAGACGTTCAAACAAAACCAGATTCTCTTTCTTGCGTAACAGCTCGATGCGAGTCTCGTCCTTTGTGACCACCTTGGATGGAGACAAGGCAAGACAAGCGTCGCCCATTTGAATGACAGTACAGGTATAGTCCTCCCCGTCGATGTACTCTTGAACGACAACATCACCACTACCGCGCCCGACTGGGTTGTACGATTCAGCATAGGCCTTTGTATCTTCAATACCCATTGCCTCCGCCCGTTTCACGCGAGCATCATACAATGCCGTGTTGATGCGGCGGAGAGCGCCCTCCAGCTCTTTCTGATTGAGACAGACGGACTGGTGGTCAATCAGTTGACTGGCACGTCCATTCGTCGGTTTGACAACCAGAGGGAAACGGTCGGCCCCCAGCACCGGCGGCGCACCCCGGCGTCTGGCATTCTTGTAGAAGTCGTTCTTGGTCATCGAGCATTGCAAGCTGCGTATACCACAGGAAGGAAGGTTCAGCGACTCAAAGTACTGGCTTTCCAGGACGCCCGCGACGGGGTCGTCCACCGCCCCCCGCATAAAGTTGAAGTAAAAGTCGAAGTCCTCGGCTGCTAGAGCGTCGATTTCTGCTTTGGCAGTGGCTTTGTGGATGAAGCGGTACTCGAAGATATGTTCGGCTGTGAAGAGCCCCGGCTGGGCAGGCTCCTGCACATCCTGTAGTGCTGAATCCAATCGTTCGTAGGATGACTGCAAAACGCAGATTCTCATGGTGGTATTGTATCTTTGGGAGCAACGTCGAAGAAATGACAGAGTATAGATGCCAATTGCTGAGCGTTTCGAGACCTGCCACTCGCGCACGAGTGACATGAGTCACAGGACTTATGTATCCATGCCCAAGCTTGTTCAAGGGTGCAAGGAGCAAACCTCTGCCAATCTTCAGCTCCTTTAGGCCTAGAGCGACAATCGGAGTTCGTTGCTGCAAGTGCTATAAAGCCAATCATGGTTGCTGGGCTGACCTCAGGTTAGTCTTGCTGCACGTTGACAAATGGACGACCTGCACTCGGCCAGCGACTGACTGCCTCTGGCAATTCCAATACGGCAGATGATCGATTTGTATTGTTCAGGCGGTCAAATATGCACGGAAAGTAGCGGTGTTGTCGAGTAGCGGCTGCACGGAGATTGCCCACTGCAACTTAAACTTCGAGCTCAGAAAGGGTATTGGGAGTCAACGCATAGACGCTGCCAACTTAAGTTCGCCGCCATCGATAATCATAAAGCCGCCATATTTGTAGAGATACTGAAGATAGAGTATGTAACGGGCGTGCTGGGTTGTCTGCCGTTCACATAGTTCATTCGTGATGGCAGGCTCCAAATTAGGAAAGCTGCTGGGCTGCACTATGGAGAAGCTGTTATGTCTAGGAAGAAGCTTCAACATGATTATGTGAAGAAATAGGTGGGAATAAACGGCTATAGCAGAATCTATCTCGCATTTCTGTAACATTGCTCGAGCTTGACCCAGGTGTCCTGCCTTCCATGATCTGTGCTGATTACCATGACGACTATGATGATTATAGATGATGCGGCCAAGAGAGGCAGTGCGCGGCCAAGTGTCCAGAGTTTTGGTTGATCCGCGTGTTCAGGTTGATCGATTAGATAGACGGATTCTGCTTCTCAAGATAAAGTTATTCAATGTCCGGGTGCCAAGCGAGTACCCGTGGGTAGCCAAAGAGTCCGACACAGCCACCCCTTATGGGTCAAGGCGAAAGGAATGTATATAGGCAGTATAATTCCAAGACGCTCTGAGGAAACAGTGATGTCCCCAGCTTATGAACACAAAAATGAGTCTCAGGCCTCCGTCCTCCGTTCGAGACGACCTATCCGAAGCAGTAGCCTCAGACGCTCAAACCGCAAGAGACAATTGTTTTGCCTTCTCGCCAGACCAACTAGATCAGCTCTTCAACCCCAAATCTCTCCCTGCACTTTATGCTCTCGGTGGCCTCCACGGCCTGGAGTATGGCCTGCGCACAGACCTCAGCGCTGGCCTGTTAGCCAGCGAGAGGAACCTTCCTGGCGCCGTCACACTAGAAGAGGCGAGGCAGGCTGCGCTATGCAAGATGGAGAGCAAGCGGCCGCTGCTAGCGAACTCAACCCGGCCCCGTCCCGACCAGGAAACCTCAACGCCATTCTTCGATCGAACCCGAGTGTTCGGGCGGAACGTGCTGCCCGAGGCAAAGAGGAAGGGCTTTGGAAGGCTTCTCTGGGACGCATATAACGATAAGATTATCATACTTCTGACCATCGCGGCGGTCGTCTCGCTGGCGCTTGGGATATATGAAGCTGTTAGCGGGCAGTCGCAGGTGGATTGGATCGAGGGCGTGGCGGTCTGCGTCGCTATTCTGATTGTTGTTGCTGCTACTGCAGGGAACGACTGGCAGAAGGAGAGGCAGTTTGCGAGGCTTAATAGACTGGTTGGTTGAGGTTCTGTTCTGAGCGAGAAAAAAGATGTACTGACCTGGTGCAGAAGGTCGATCGTCAGGTGAGAGTCATCCGCTCGGGAAGGCCGATGATGCTGCATATCAATGACCTGGTCGTCGGCGAGGTCGTCGATATTGGGCCGGGGGATTGTGCCCCTGCTGACGGGGTTGTGATAACGAACCATGGGCTGAAATGCGACGAGTCCATGGCGACAGGGGAGTCGGATCAGATTGAAAAGGTCAGTGCTGGCACAGCTACTGATGGCCAGGACCCGTTCATTATATCGGGAAGCAAAGTCCTCGAAGGAATGGGCACATATCTGGTAACCAGCGTGGGCCCGCACTCGACGTATGGCCGGATAATGGTGTCTCTAGGAACAGAGAGTGCTCCAACACCACTACAGGTGAAATTGGGGAAGCTAGCCAACTGGATAGGTTGGTTTGGACTGGGGTGGGTATCTCTAGACAAAGTCGTGCAGGATAGTGCCTGACAGCCAGTGCCAGGGCAGCTCTTCTTCTCTTCTTTGTGCTCCTCTTCCGCTTCTTGGCTCGACTTCCAGATAACGATGCGCCGTCCACTGTAAAGGGACAAGAGTTTATGGATATTCTCATAGTAACAGTAACAGTGATCGTGGTTGCAATTCCCGGTATGCACCGCTTCCCATCACTTCTCGATACGCTTGTTGATGCCTCACAGAAGGACTACCCCTGGCTGTGACCCTGGCCTTAGCTTTTGCGACAGCCCGTATGCTCAAGGAAAACAATCTGGTGCGGCAGCTCCGTGCCTGCGAAACGATGGGAAACGCGACCGTGATCTGCTCGGATAAAACAGGGACTCTGACGCAGAACAGGATGACGGTGGTGGCGGGCTTCTTGAGTACCAGTGAATCATTCGGCCAGCTGCCCCTGGAGAATGCATCTCGGCCGCAGCACGACGCCATCTCGGGTGTGACGCAGAGGTACCCGGGAGCCTTGAAGGCTCTGCTAGTCAAGAGCCTCGTAGTCAACTCGACAGCGTTCGAGGAGCAGCGCGAGAACGAAAGGGTGTTGGTCGGGAATAACACCGAAATTGCGCTCCTTCGATTTGCACAGACAGCTCTTGATGTGCGCGATGTGTCTACGGAGCGAGAAAGAACCAAGGTCGAACAGGTCTATCCATTTGACTCGGCTCGGAAGGCGATGGCGGTCGTGTATCGTTTGGGAACAGGGCACCGATTGCTGGTCAAGGGAGCCGCAGAGGTCGTCCTCGGTGCCTGCACTGAATCGGCAATTCCAGGATTATCGGACGAAACATCATTAGCCAGAGCACAGATATCGCGCGAGGACAGGCGGACAATACATGACCAGATCAATACCTTTGCCCGAGCCTCATTGCGGACGATCGCAATTGCATATCGCGAGCTTCCAGGGTGGAATTTTGGACAGGCTGGAGACAACGAGAAGGGTTCACTTGATTTCGATGCCTTGTTCAATAACCTGACCTGGATCGGGGCGTTTGGCATCCACGATCCGCTTAGGCCCGAAGTCCCCGAAGCCATTCGGAAGTGCCATGCGGCGGGCGTCCAGGTCAAGATGGTTACTGGTGAGACATCACAGATCCAAAGTCAGAAACCTGAAAGTAGTAACTTTCGCCACAGGTGACAACATCCACACGGCGCTATCCATCGCCATCTCCTGCGGGATCAAGACGGACGACGGCATCGCAATGGAAGGACCCGACCTCAGGATGTTGACCGAGGGGCAGCTGAATACGACTATTCCACGACTCCAAGTCCTGGCTCGCTCTTCACCCAGTGATAAACAGCTCCTCGTTGAGCATCTCAAACGGCTTGGTGCGACGGTGGCCGTGACAGGCGATGGGACCAACGACGGGCCGGCACTCAAGGCCGCCGATGTAGGGTTCTCGATGGGCCTGAGTGGGACTGAAGTCGCGCGTGAAGCAAGTTCTATCATTCTACTCGACGACAACTTTCGATCGATCGTCACGGCCATTGCCTGGGGCCGGTGTGTCAATGATGCCGTGGCCAAGTTTCTGCAGGTGTGCTGCATCTACTTCCCTAGCAATTCATGTGGTTGACAAAGACAGTTTCAAATCACAGTCAACATCACCGCCGTCTGTCTGACTGTCGTAACAGCCATCTACAGCAGCTCCAACGAAAGCGTCTTCAAGGCAGTCCAGTTGCTATGGCTGAATCTAATAATGGACACCTTTGCCGCTCTTGCCCTGTACGACTCCCTGATTGTAAGCCACCATGGTGATAAAGTACTGACGTCCTGCCTGGTACCAGAGCAACCGACCCGCCCACCGAGGATATCCTACAGCGACCCCCAAGGCCACGAAGCGCACCTTTGTTCACCGTGACTATGTGGAAGCTGATGCTGGGGCAGTCGATCTACAAGCTCGCCCTCTGTTTCACGCTGTACTTTGCAGGCAACAGGATCCTCAAGTATAATACCGAGATCCACCGGCAGCAGGTCGAACTCGACACAGTCATCTTCAACACCTTCGTCTGGATGCAGATTTTCAACGAGCTGAACTGCCGTCGACTGGACAACAAGTTCAATATCTTCGAGGGGATCCTGAGAAATAGATGGTTCATGGTAATCAACGCCTTGATGGTAGGTGGGCAAGTGCTCATAATCTTTGTCGGTGGGGCAGCGTTCGGCGTCACCAGGCTGGATGGACCCCAATGGGCTATTTGTATTGGATGCGCTGCCTTCTGTATTCCCTGGGCCGCAGTGCTGAAGCTCGTCCCGGATCGGCATGTTGCCAGGCTTATGTCGCTGGTTAGTATTGGGGTGGGGGTTGTGCTTGCTCCACTTAGACAGATGTGCCGGGCTCTGGTCCGAACCTTCAACGTCTTCTTTCGAAGAGCCTACGTTCGGGATGATGAAGAATGGAACGTCTCCCAGCGGGTGACTCGCGTGTAATGATGTGTGATTACTTGTCCTATGCCAATGGTACTAATGCCTTTCTGTAAAGAGAAGTAGACTTCATCGACCGTATCAATGCGAGAAACCCTAAATTGAAAATGGTGGCCTGAAGCCGTCTGCAGGGAGCTAATATAGGCATAGTGACTGTATGCCACCCGGTCAGGCGGTCTATTATGCAAGGAAAATAGCGGTGTTGTAGGCCAGCAACTGCACGGATGATCACTAACTGCAAATCATAGTTCGATATCCAGGAGAGGTATTAAAGGTCAACGCATAGACCCTGCCAACTTTCGTCTGTCCACAAACGATAAGCCGCCATGACGGTCACCGAGCAAGTCGCCATAATCGGCGCGGGACTCTGCGGTCTCACGCTCGCCTTGGCTCTGCACCAACAATCAATTCCATGTGTCGTTTACGAAGGGCGGTCCGTACCAGAAGACATCGGCGGCGCCGTCATCCTCTCACCCAACGCCCTACGAATCCTAGACGAGCTACACATCTACAACCGCATCAGACCCCTCGGCCACGAAAGCGAGACCGTGCTCTTCCGAACGGAGGACAACCAGTTAGTCGACTCGTACGAGATCGGCAACCAGGCCAGATACGGCTACAAGGGCCTACGGATATACCGCTACGCACTCATCAATGAGCTCCTGGCCGCGTTGGCCAAACGTGGTATCCCCGTGCACTACGGGAAGAAGTTTGCGCATATCCGCTCCGAGTCCGACCACGATGTGAGCTGGGAGTGGGCGGATGGGAGTATAGGCCGCGCAGGCTCGCTGGTGGGCTGCGATGGGATTTACTCCCGTGTGCGCGCCTACCTCTACCCAGAGCTGAAACCACAGTTCATCGGCATCGTGGCTGTCGCGGCGGCCGTCCCGACCAGCTGTGTGGGCGTCCCGGAGGGGTACGGGCTGCCTGTGACGATCATGAGCCAGGCCCATGGCGGATATATCATCGCGCCGCAGCTGTCTGACGGGTCGGAACTGATGCTGGGGCGGCAGCGGCGGTGGCCGGAGCTGAATCGGGAGGGGTGGGAGGCGCTGGCGGCCAATGAGGACTGGTGTATTGATTTCCTGAGTCAAGGGGCTGAGCACTTCCCGCCGATAATCCGCTCGAGTGTGGCGAATATCCAGCGGGATAAGATCAATGTCTGGCCCTTCTACGTGGTCCCGCGGCTGGACAGGTGGGTTTCTGATTCTGGCCGCGTCGCGATCATGGGAGATGCCGCACATGCGATTCCACCGTCTTCAGGACAAGGTGCTAATCAGGTCTTGGAGGATAGTTATACCTATGCGCTGCTTCGGGGTCAGTGCATGCCGGGCTCAACGGGACACGCCCTGCGTCGGTGGAAGGAGGGACGGCAGGAGCGGATTGACCGGCTGTTGAAATTTGCAGACGAGATGAATCGACGCCGCATGACGAGTGTAGCAGACGGTTCGGAGGATAAGCCTGTTCTGACGAAAATAACAGAGTATCTAGACTTGGACTGGGTGTTCAAGCCGGATTACCGGGGGATGGTCAACGACTGGGTTCAAGGTACCTTATCCGCTGGTGAATAGCGCCAGTCGAATGATCAAACACAAAATGCATAGGAATCTGCACGCTGCAAGGGTTGACACTGTGTAGATCATGTATACCTTTCCATGTTATTGCTACACCGAGTGATGTATCATGCATGTCAGTAAGGCGGCCATGCATTTGCAATACAATAGGCGATGCTCTTCTGTGCATCATGCATGCCATGGACATGGGACTATGTAGCGGTGAAGAGTCTTGAGCTGCTAGGAGCAACCAGCAGCCAAAAGGGCCGTAGAAGAAATAACCGTACAAACGCGGTGTATTTCTCTCGAGAGATCAAGTCCATCCAAGGCACACATAGCGTAAAGGCGGCCATTCCAGCACCCTCAATGACAACTCGGACTGTCACAGCAACAGCTGGGCTGCGAGCAGAACACATTCCACGCGGCCCCGTGGAAGTGGCTTTGAATTTCTTTGAACCCCCAGCGGACGGGGCACCTCCATTCCAATATGCCCAAGAGCCGCCCCCCGGCCAGCCAGCCTCGAACTACACCCAGCCAACAGTGCACGTCGGCCTGAGCGATATCCGCGGCCAGGAAGCCAACTACAGCCTCGACCAGGACGCCTTCCAGTGCCTCCAAGGCATCCAGTCCCTATCGGACATTCCCTACGAGACCTTCCTCTCCGACGACCAGATCAAAGAGATCTACTACCCAGCAGCCGAACAACTCCTTCTCGAGCGCGTTACCAAAGCCCGGAAAGTGGTTATCTTCCACCACGTCGTGCGCATGGACCGAGCAGAAAACCCTATCAACTGTAGACCACTCCTCACCGTGCACGCGGACCAGACACCGCGCGCCACGGTGGCCACTATCCGCCGGCACATCACGGATTCGGAGGAGGTCGAATCGCTGCTCCGAAGCCGATACCGCATCATAAACGTGTGGAAGCCGATCAACGGAACCGTCGAGTCCTGCCCGCTTGCCTTTGCCAGCGGGAGCTCGGTGGAACCGGCCGACCTAATCCCCATTGAACTGCGGTTTCCCGATGAGATCAGCGAGAGCGTTGGGGTCAAGTATAATGCCAAGCAGAGGTGGTTGTACTGGTCTGGGATGGGCAATGATGAGTGTCTCCTGTTGAAATGCAGTGATTCTCTCGAGGAGGTACCCGCAGTTCAGGTCCCTCATTCAGCATTCATAGACCCCCGGTCGCCTCCGGGGGCAAAGCCCCGGGAAAGCATAGAGATTCGGGCGTTGGTGTTTGGTTGAGGACGTCGATGAATGTCAGGAAGACTATTCAGCAGGGGTGTGGTGGAAGAGTGGAAGGCTATGAATGTGCTTTATTTCTACAACGAACTTACTATCTGTATGTCGCTGACGCATTTCATATGCTATCTGGTAGTACAACTGGAGTATTTAGCCTGCTCTCAATCTTTACTGCAACTTGTGACAGTCAACATACTCTTATAGATCGATCGGTAACACTGGGAGTAGAGTGAATAAGGAATCATCTATTGAATCCTTTACGTAGGGAAAGACAGAAATCTCTACCTGTAGGGCTCAGTCAGATGACTATAGATTAGATGATAGACTATACCGCTATTCTTCGACTTGTACGGGCTGAGTAGCAGATCATGGATCGACAAGTGCAGAAGCGCAGAAGCATACCCTCTGATTCCCTAAATGGAGAAGGCAGATGACCTGTATTACTGACCGCACTGCCTTAGGAATGCAGCATGTTTACTTTTCAGGGAGGCCAAAAGATCGTCTTCAATAATCGTTGCATGGCTGAGCTGAAGCGGCAGCGTGACCTCATCTGCAAGGGATTCAGATTATTAGGTCGTGATGCATCCATTTTTTTAAATGAAAGGCCCCTATGCACTGGTCATCAGTACCTACTCTCGGGTAGCTATCTAACAGCATCACTTCACGTTGGAATTGCAAAATGTTGGAACTCGCAGAGATCAATCTGCAAAAGTATCAGATTTCAGAACTGTTTGGATTTCTCCCAGCGCAACCTCCTTTGTCCCGTCTACCTCACTCTTGCTACCAGATCTGGGAGGACACCCTGGACGAGTTTGCTTCGCCTTGCAAATATGAAAGTATTCGGCAGCAGATGGATAATATGCCAGTGCTATCCACGGAGGCTTTGGCCACAGAGCCCGAGTGGCGCAGGGCGTATGTAGTCCTGTCCATAATGTCGCAGATTTACATATGGGTCGGCTATCAACCAAGCAAGGTGGGCCTGATCTGTCTAAATATCATATCCCAATAGCTGACAGCAGTGCAGAAGCTTCCGAGATCTCTCACTCTTCCCCTTCTAGAGGTGTCTGCACACCTTGGGGTCGAGCCCTGCGCCTCTTACGCTAGCTTTTGTTTATGGAATGTACGCCCCGTGCCGGGTCTGGACTATCCGGACGCAGATGTATACACCAATCCGGAGAATCTGACCATCATCAATTCCTTCACTGGGACCAAGGACGAGGAATGGTTCTTCTGTGTCTCGGCGTCGATCGAGGTCATTGGAGGCCGTATGATACCCAAGATGCTGGACGCCATTGACGCTGCTCGGAACGGACGCCGTGAGCAAGTCACCGAGTTCCTAAACGAGCTCGCCGGTTGCCTTGCGCAGATAGACGCCACCCTTGGCAGGATGTACGAGAAGTGCGCGCCGTCGGTGTTCTACTATCGTGTGCGCCGGTTTCTCACTGGCAGCAAGAGCATGGGGGGAGTATGGTACGAGGATATCGACAGGCCTGGTGACCTGCGCAGCTACGCCGGGGGAAGCAATGCGCAGAGCTCTCTCATCCAGCTCTTGGATATGGTGCTCGGTATCGACCACTGGAACGAGGGTGGAAATAAAGCATCCACGTCTGCTGGCTCCTTTCATCGCCAAATGCGTGGCTATATGCCAGGACCGCATCGAGACTTTCTCCAACTAATGTCCCGCGTCGCGAATATCCGCCCCTTTGCTCTGGGTCACCCGGCCGGCTCGGATATTCGAGCTGCGTATAATCGCGCTGTCACCGCTCTGGGGCAGATTCGTCAGAAGCATTTGGTCATGGCTGCACGGTATATCATTGCCCCTGCCCTGAAGGAGAACGGCAAAGATGGAGTAGAGGTCTTAAGAGGGACTGGCGGAACCGACTTTATACCCTTATTGAAAGACGCAAGGGACAGGACCGTTGAGAGGATATCTTCCGGGGTTTGTACAAACTGTTAGTGTGCTGATTCGCTTGTGATTGTATTGCGCTATGTCTCTTGCCTACTTCGGAAGATCATACATTGCTCCTTCTCTATCCTGTCGGTAATAGATATATAGGCTGGACACAATCGGTGTTATTCCCCCCTCTTCAAAGCAAACGTCACCCGGCCTGGATCCGACATCCACGAATCGACAATGGAAAGACCGCCTGGTACACGGTCAACTAGCGCATGCCATTCCTCCATTGTCCGCGACAATGTCCCAAAGCATGCCAGCAGGTGCATATTCATCGCATTGGCCATCGACAGGCCACCCTGACTACCCACGTCAATGGCATCATCGATCAAGAGGATGGACTTGTTCGGGGTCATTGCCTCGGCGAGATATCCTAGGATAATGCAACAGTCTCTGTACTATGTCAGGTCTCTGCTCTCTAACTGCACCCGTTCAGTCTTACTCTGAAGTATGGTCCATCATGATGCAACTCGCCAGATAGAGGTCTGCTTCTTTCACTGGCTGCTCGGTGCGAAAATCATGGTCTTGCCATTTGACTCTCTCAAGGATTTTCGGGTCAATATCTGTGCTAACCGTAGGAGGCTCGGCACCGTAGTCCTGGACAATGAACGACATACGCGGATGCTGCTGCGCAATACGAATGGAATGGTGGCCTTTCCCTCCACCGACGTCGACTACGAGGGCATCAGACTTTAGCTGACTGAAATCGAAGATGCTTTCGACAGTCGTTGCGGCCGATCGTGTGTGCCATTGCATCGCCCAGTCGAACCTCTCCCCCAGTTTTTTGTCCGATGAGCGGAGGAAAGCGTAGAAAGACTGGTCCGCTAGACATCCTCAATTAGTACCTAATCCATGATTAACGGATCAGAATTCCTACTCCCGTACGCCATCTGAAAGGCCGTTTGGTGCCTATGGCCGGGGATCTGCCCACCATTCTGCGCTACGTATCGACTCAAGTATGCCCCTGTCATGAGACCAACATCGGACCTGGAACATGAGCTATAGCACTAGATGTACGGACAAGGTCACTGACATATGATGGACCCAGGCGCCCCCGCTCGTGCCTAGCAGGAAAGCCGACCTACTGTTCAGTCGGTATGTCTCAGGAGCTGGCTCATCAAGAATGAACTCTGCCACGACCTCCCGCAACACACATCCTACATCTTAGTCAGATTTGTCGGAGTAGATACTGTGGAAGACGTACTGAGTAGTGATTTCGAAGCCCCGGACCGTTTGACTAGAGTTTCCAACGGCGTGGCGCTATCACTCTCGGAAAGAAATTGGAATATTTTCAAGTCAAAGAGAAGGCATATCGCGATACTGCCGTTGTAACCCATTGCGACCCGGTTCGTCCACATCTCTGGGGGAGTCACCAGTGCATCAAGCTCCCTGCAGGCGGACGATATCGTCGCCATCTCCTCCGTTGGCGTCTCTCCGGCTTGAACCTTGTCCATGTACCTTCTGATTTGGCTCGAGATACGCGAGCCCAGGAGTTCGATCTGGCTATTCGTCTGGGTCATTTTGCCTTTAATGAAGTTATGATGCGCAAGCAATAGAGAATATGAGAGGACTGGCCGTGTAGGCTGAAAAAAGGCGGGAAAGAGCGTGTTCCTCGAGTGGTGGAGAATCAGGTGCTGCCCTTGCTTTATGTAATATATAGTTCACGCTTCCCTTGAACATCAAAGTCCTGCTCTATCTTGGTCTTCATGATACGTAGTGGGCCTACACCCTGGGGTCGTGTCGATTCATCAGATGCAAGGGCGTCTGCATGTGGCTCTGCGACACGCAGTCACCTAATGGCAGATGAATTTCGACTAATTTGGAATTGGGCACATTAGGTACGTATACCTGTCTACTCAATGACTTTACTAACTACTCCTGGCGGCAATCTCCGAGCTGAGCTTGTACATCGGTTGAACAACTGACGCCTTACAGGACAGATGCATACATGTACATCATTAGAGGCATCCACACCGCTTCTTCGCCATGGGCAACTCACAGATAGGGCTCCTACAGCCACAGCTGAGGGATCTCTTATATCCTCAACCCTGACAAATTGCGCCACAGATTTCTACCTCAAGGGCGCGGAATACTCATCATGACCACTATTGGCGCATCCAATCCAAGGGCAGTAGGGGACGGAGTCTGCTGCCTCTTCCCTACAATCCACAACGTCAACCTGTCGACTAGTGATGAAGGAATTAAGACACTCGATTTCGACCCATGCGTAATTCGAGCACTGAAAACATCAGGCTATGAAGTTCAATGGATCCTTTGCGCAGCATGGGCGATAGCTCTGTCGAGATATGTCGAGGCAGATCGGATCCGGTTTGCGTTTGATACCGGTGCCGAAAGACATATCTGCAGTGTTACTCTCGACACGGAATCTCCGGCAGGTACTTTATTACGGGGAAATGGATGTGATTTGTCCGTGTGGAGCAGGACCGAAGCCGAGGCTATCAACACAGGAGTCTATATCCAAGATTCACCCGACGAATGTGACGATTTCAAACAGTTACACGGAGTGAATATAGTGGGACAGTTTCACGGCTCTCATCCTGTTCTGCAGCTTGCCTACCGAGGTCACTTGCTGTCGCCGTTTTATGCCAAAAATCTCGCCAATACTGTCGGTCATGTCTTGGAGTGTATCCTGGAAGAACCTATTCGGCGAGTCGGACAGATCTCCTTGTGCTGCCCCATTCAGCGACAGCGTATTTTAAGCTGGCAGAAGAGCATCCCATTGCGCGAGGCCACGCATTCCGCCATATATGAACTCGTAGAAGAGCGTGCTGCGCAGCAAGCAAACGCCCAGGCAATTGAGGATACCGATGGCTCCTTTACATACGCGGAACTTGATCAGCTGTCCTCTCGCTTGGCAGCGCACCTCGCGGATAGACACGATGTTCGCAGCGGGACAATGGTCATGCTATGTGCCGCTAAAACGCGATGGGTGATCGTGGCCATGCTCGCTGTAAACAAGGCCGGGGGATGCTTTGTCCCCTGTGACCCCGAGTATCCAGCTAGTCGTCGGCATGCAATGGCAGCAATCTGCGGGTCTAGGATCGCCATCGTCTCAGCCGGATACGAACACGCCTTTGATGGAATTGTCAACGAAACTCTCGTCGTCTCGGCGGCTACGGTGGGCACATGGTTGGCAAAGCCACGAGAATTTGCGACAAGCTCGACGGACCCGGCGTACTGCTTCTTTACGTCTGGAAGTACGGGCGAGCCTAAGGGATGTGTTGGTTCTCACTCGGCGCTCGCAGCAGTTGCCCACCAGGTTCCCGCACTGCACCTCTCGCCTGAGAGCCGCGTGCTCCAATTCGCAAAACTCGGGTTCGGAATCTCTTTTATCGAGATATTTTGCACGTTGGCCGCGGGGGGAACAATCTGCATGCCGTCCGATCAAGAACGAATGAATGCGCTCACCGATGCCATGAACCGGATGAAGGTCAACTGGGCTCTCCTCACACCAACAATGGCAGAGTCGCTGGATCCTGCGTCTTTGAAGACATTGGACAAGCTATTTCTGGGCGGGGAAGCGCCGAGTGAGGCCCATATTCTCAAGTGGGCGTCCAAAGTCGAGCTCTTTCAGGTTTACGGGACCACTGAAATGGCCGGGGTAACATGCGTCTCGCAGCAGATCACCTCCCCCCAGGCTCGGCGGACTGTCGGCAGCCCTGCAAACACCCGTGTGTGGCTTGTGGATGTCAATCGCCATGATCGACTGGCTCCTATCGGTGCCGTCGCTGAGCTTCTGATTGGGGGACCAAGTCTGGCGGATGGATATCTGGGGGAACCCGAGCGTAGCGACGGGTCGTTCATCTCAGATGCTCCTTGGATGAGCGGGTCTGCGCTCGAACCCACGATGCGTCGAGCTTATAAGACTGGTGATCTGGTACGTTATAATGAGGACGGATGCCTCAGTCTGGTAGGACGGAAAGGCACACAGGTCAAACTGCGTGGGCAGCGGCTGGAGCTCGAGGATATCGAGTGTCAACTCACTCGGGTACTACAGGATTCAGAAACTCTCTCCAACGTCCAGCGAGTTGTGGCTATGGTCATTGAGCCTGAGATTCTAGTAGCGGTGCTCGTAATACCAACTGGCAAGCCCATAGTAAGCAACGGGCTGCAATTCCACCCGATCGATGCTGGACAGATGCTTTCGGACCTCGAGCATGTCCAGTCGAAACTATCGTCCTTGCTGCCCAGTTTCATGGTGCCGCAGCTGCTCCTTCCACTCACGGATCTGCCAAAAGGCGCTACAGGCAAAGTCGACCGACGCACGTTGCGGCGCCAATTGAGCACCATCCCGTTCGAAGAATTACGTCGTCTGGCAGGAGTCATAGTGCAAACACAATCCCCTGAGACTGACGCGGCGCGAACCATCCATGCTTTGGTCTGTGAGGTTCTCAAGCTGACCTCAGACAAGGTTGGCATGGGGGATAACTTCTTCCACCTCGGGGGCAATTCCATGCGTGCCATTCAGATGGTTGCTGCTGCCAAACGCCGTTCTGTGCAGCTGACCGTTGCGGATATTTTCAATCATCCCGTACTAGCCGACCTTGCATCCGTTGTTGGTACAGCAAGTGATGCTTGCCCTTTGACTGTCAACAGCTTTGCCCTTGTCCGCCCCCCTGTGGAATGCGAAAGAGATTTCCGCCGAGCGGTTGCCTCCCAAATGAACATTGACCCTGCCATTATTCAGGACGCATATCCTTGCACGCCATTGCAGGAAGGGCTCATGGCGCTGACGGAAAAGTGCCCGTCATCTTATCAGTGCAGAGTAGTCTGCCAACTCAAGGACAGTGTCCAGATCGAGGCGTTCAAAGCGGCCTGGGAGGCCGTCGTAGCGCAGAACGACATCCTGCGAACACGTCTCGCTCTGGCACCATCGCAGAACCTGATACAAGTCGTCCTCCGTGAGCCTTTCGTGTGGGATGCCCCACAACACCGAATGAACTACCTGGCCCAGGCGGAACCAGCGGTCATGGGGGTGGGAACACGACTTCTCCATTGTTGTATTTTAGACGACGAACCCAGTGGCCCAGTGTTTATCGTGACCATCCACCACGTGCTATGCGACCGCTGGTCAATTAGACTGATGCTAGAGCAGGTGCAGTCAACCTATCAGAACGGTCATGCCGTCCAGCGAAACACTTTTACTCCCTTCATTCAATACATCCAGCAGCAATCACGAGGTTCCGACGCCTACTGGAGCACCAGCTTCACCAATCTTGAGGCGCAAGTATTCCCCCCACTTCCCCAACCTGATTATACGCCCGTTGCCGACGGAGAGTTGCGAGAGGAGTTTCACCTGCCCCCACGAGTAGCCCGAAACTACACTTTGCCCTCATATATCCGGCTGGCCTGGGCGCTTGTCATCGCACACAATACGGCCGTGGACGACGTGGTGTTCGGCGAGACGCTCAGTGGAAGAAACGCCCGCCTCAACGATGGTCATGACATTGGACAAGTCGTTGGTCCCACTATCGCCACCGTACCCCAGCGCATTCGACTCGACATGACCAAGTCAGTCGACAAGGTCCTGGCAGAGCTGCAGGACCAAGTGGCTCATATGGCTTCCTACGAGCAGGCAGGTCTCCAGAAGATCCGCCGAGTTTGCCCAGAGGCTGAAATTGCGTGTTTGTTCCAGAGCCACCTGGTCATTCAGCCGGCGGCCGACTTTCCAGAGGACATCTTCCGCAGTGTACAGGCGACGTCTGTCTCTATAGGCGGCTTCCTGTCGTACGCGCTGGCGCTTGAATGCTGTCTGACGGAGGACGAGGGCCATATGACCATGGTTTCTGGTTTTGATAGTCGCGTGCTATGTGAGGATCGTGTCCGGCGACTACTCTCTCACTTTCAAATGGTCTTGCGGTGTCTACTCGAGGACCCGTATCAGCGGCTGGGTGACGTGCCCAGCGTAGGGCCTGCCGATCTTGACCAAATCTACGCCTGGAATGCTACTGTCACCGAAGCTTCGCAGCAGATCATCCATGAGGTAATTCGACAACGGACACAAGAAGCTCCCTCGGCCCCAGCGATATCGTCTTGGGACGGAGAGCTCTCCTACCAGGAACTGGAGAAGCGGTCCAACCAGGTGGCAATGCAACTTGTTGGGAGGGGAGTCAAACCAGGCAGCTTCGTCGCGATTCTCTTCGAGAAAAGCAAGTGGACGACTGTGGCCATTCTTGGTGTCAGCAAGGCGGGTGCCGCATTCGTGCTCATGGACCCGGGGCAACCGCACCAGCGACTGTCTACTATTGCTCGCGAGTCTCAATGCACGTTGATAGTTTGCTCGGAGGCGACCAGGGCTCTAGCGATGGAGATCATATCAGCGGATCTCGTGGTGGGAGACGACACGGTTGACATTTGGGACTGCGAGGTGGATTTGGCTCGACTGCCACAAGTAAACCCCCGAGACGCGGCATACGCCGTCTTTACATCAGGCTCCACGGGAACCCCCAAGGGCACAATCATTGAGCATAGCTCCTACTGCACCTCGGCCAAGGAATTCACCGCCTGCCAGCTGGTAGACAAGCACACCCGAATGCTACAATTCGCTTCCTACAGCTTCGACTGTTGTATCGGGGAGAGCATCAGCACGTTAATGGTAGGCGGCTGCGTCTGCGTCATCTCGGACGACGACCGACAGAACGCCCTCGCCCGTGCGGCCCGCGACGCCGAGGTCACCAACGCGATGCTTACCCCGTCCGTAGCGCGCCTTCTGCGTCATGAGGATATCCCCTCCCTGCGGGTGCTGTCGCTCATGGGAGAGGCAATGCGGCCCGCTGATTACGACTATTGGGCGGAGAGAGTAGTCCTGATCAATGGGTACGGGCCCACCGAATGCTCCGTGGGCATTTCGTATCAGCAGTACCGCCCGGGCGTACATGTACGGGACATAGGGCGTCCCCGCGCCGCGGCGGCCTGGATCACCGATCCTCGCGACCACGATCGCCTGGTGCCGGTGGGCGCCATCGGGGAGCTGCTCCTGGAAGGTGACCCTGTGGCACCCGGGTACATGAACAATCCGGAGCAGACAGCGGAAGCTTTTCCCGAGATTCCGGCCTGGCTTCGCGGCATTCGGAAGACGCCTTATCGGATTTACAGGACGGGTGATCTGGTGCACTATAATGAAGACGGCTCCTTGCGGTTTGTTGGGCGCGCAAATGATCAGATCAAAGTACGCGGTCAGCGGCTGGAAAAGGGAGAGGTCGAGACGCAGTTGCGCCAGTGTTGGGAGTGGACGGACTGCTCACAACCTGCAGAGGTAGCTGTGGATGCGGTGACGCCACTGGAGAACGCTGATCGTGTTTGTCTCGCAGCGTTTGTCGTTATCCATAGCAATACTGAGGAGACCCAGGACATTTGGGCTGCTCCGGATGCAGACTTCTGTCGACGGGCAGCCGACGCAGAAGCACAGTTGCAACAGCAGCTGCCGCACTTCATGGTCCCCTCGATATTTGTGCCGCTCACACGGATGCCTCGAATGGCCAGCGGCAAGATTGATCGGCCATTGCTGAGACGCCGCATCCAGTCCATGTCTGCCGATGAACTCCGCACATTCTTCCCTGCCGTTGCATCGAGCCATTTGAGCATATCCCCGGAGGAGGCGTTTCTGCAGGAACTCTGGGCACAAGTGCTTGGTCTTCCAGTTGAGCGAGTGGGTGTCGACGATAACTTCTTTCACCTTGGCGGCGATTCGATCGCGGGAATGCAGGTCGTCTTGCAAGCGCGTGCCAGGCAGCGGGTATATACACTGCCAGATATCTTCCAGTACAAGACCATTAGGGCTCTCGTTCAGCATACAGCTATATCTGAGAGCGATACCGGTCACTCAGAAACTTCAGTCCCGAGCAAGAGGTCGAGTGACGTCCAAGCGTGTAAACAATTACTGGCCGACGCTGGAATAGCAGACCGGGATCTTGAAGACATATATCCATGCGCTCCGATCCAGTGCGGAATGCTGCTGGTTCAGGCCAGTTCACCTGCTTTCTACCATGTAGCCTTTACATGGGAAGTATTCAACGAGTCCGTCGAGACTGTCACATCAGCTGTTCAACAGGTAATCGCGCGACATGCCATATTCCGCTCCTACTTTCTTGAGCCGTCTTTTCCCGAGTGTAAACAGCCCAACCTGTCGTTCATCCAGGCTGTCGAGCGCTATAAATCCAGGGAAATCCTCATCCGGCCTGTCGCACAGCTGGACAGCTTCCCAGGTGATTTCCAACCCTCATTGCGGGATCCATCCCGGTTTACCATCTACGAGGATGCTTCAAGGGTCTGGGTCCGTCTGGACATTACCCATGCTCTATGGGACGGAATTACTTCGCTATTCGTAGAGCACGACCTCGGTCTTGCTTGTCAGAACAGATTACCCTCGCGCGCCCCTCCCCCATTCCGGAACTATATCTCGTACATCCAGAACCAAGACAAGGCGGCTGCCTCTGCCTTCTGGGAAGCGCAATTGTGCCAATTCGAGCCATGTTACTTCCCCCCACTTACGTCAAACTTCTCCTATGACCAAGGCACCTCTCAGTGTCGTCGATTTGAGATCGTCGACAACGCAGCAATAGTCACATACTGCCGCCAGTACCACATCACCTCCCCCAATCTATTCTGCATGGCATGGGCGCTTGTCCTCCATGTCTTCACGAACCTCGAGACCGTCTGCTTCGGGAACATCGTTTCGGGGCGCGACATCCTGCTGGAGGGGATCGCAGAAATGACGGGTCCATTGATAAACTGTCTTCCATTCCGCGTAGACCTCAGCCGCGGGACAGTCACCCAGGTCCTCCAGCAGATATCGTCCGACTACGGGGCCAGTATTGCGCACCAGACATATCCTGTGGCGGAGCTTGCACACCATACCGGCCGCTCCCCAATGGCCCTGTTCAACACGCAGATTTCGATTCGGCGACAAGAGCCCGCGGAACGGGAGGTCAATCCGCGCACCCGCTTGCGATCCATCCAATCCCCTGAACCGCAGGAGGTGAGTCTGAGTCTGCTATAGCGGAGTATCTGGTATTGTTGTTAACTTTCCCAGCGTCTCGTTAGTGTCTACGTGGTTATAGAAGAGCAGCGCACGCGCGTCGAGCTCTGGCACTGGGAACCTAGTGTATCTTCAGAGCAGGCTGCCATCGTCGAGACATGTTTCCGGAACGCCGTATCCCAGATACTGCATTGCGCTGAGCAGCCTGCCAGGAGTCTGGATGTCCTAACCTCGGAACAGAAACCGATGATCTAGGCCTTGTCTCCCATCTCAGTCGCCACTAGAGTCCGTAAATGCAGGAGGTCTGGGCAGGAGTGCTGAATCGCTCGCCGGGTGATGTTGCGCCGGACGATCGGTTTTTCCGTCTGGGAGATGACTAGATGAAGGCGGAAGGTTGTTGCGTTGGCGAAGAGGGAGGGAATCGATGTCCGAATGGAGGACATCTTCAGCGACTACAGTTTGGTTACGCTGGTCAAGAAGTCAGTGCATCGTCAGGTCGACGCACAATGCGAGTCGAGGCGGGATAGATAATTGGGACATCTCTAATTGACATCGTTACCTTGAGCAGCTAGAGTTCTAGACAGAATAGCCCTTAATGAGCGATTTAGCCTCCTACATTGTGCAGAAGAGTACCAACCTACTGAGAGGAATACACTAGATACAATGATCCGGATTCCCAGCCGGACTCCCCCACCACGTCGGAAATGGATGCACCTTCCCACTGGCCCCAAGCACCGCAAAAGACAGAATAAAAATCACAATCTGCGAGCCGCCGTCCAACGCCGCGCCAATGAGATAGTTATACTCGTTGTAAATGCGCGGCAGCCGCCGCCGAAGCCACACCTGCGAGAACACCCCCACCGCAATGGATGACCAAATCCACGATGTGATGCCGTAATACGTCTGCCCGGCGAATGCAGCAATGATCGCCGTGTTGAGCGGCCAGGACCGCATCCGCGGAAAGACCCTGTTAAGGCCCCAGTGCACGACTGGCAAAGCCAAGCCGATAAGCAGACCTAGCGGGACGATGAGATACCTCCCGTTCACGCCGTAGAAGTCCCGCGCGAGCGCCCAGGTAATAGCCTGCGAGTTTAGACTCTGCACTGTTGACCCGCTCCAGACACTGTTTCCTTCGGGGTCGAGGAGGATCTCGCGTTGGTTGGAGACGATGGTGGTCATGACTGCGTAGTTGAGGCCTGCACCTAGCAGAGTGCCGTAGACCTGGGTGGCGAACATGATGCGGTGCGGGATCTTGGTGTATTGGCCTACTTTGAGCCAGTTGGCGAGATTCACAGAGAGCAGGATGACCTGGTGGGACCAGCTGGCGAAGTAGAGATTTGCAAGGGGTCGGCCCGGGTGGACTGCGCCGGCGATCATTTTCGAGAGCTGGTTGGTTGCGACGCCGGTGCCGTAGAGGCCGTATAGGATGCAGGAGAATGGAGCGATGAAGGCGCCGAGGAGGAGGGAGACGATGTAGCCCCATGCCGGGAGGGTTGTTTCGCCCTTGATGTTTACGATGAGGCCTGCGAAGAAGGCGAGGACGAAGAGGGCGAGGTACCACCACATTGGGACTTCCTTGTACTTGAGCATGGCCTGGAAGTGTGGGTCCGGCTGGGTTCGGCTGCGCGCCTGCTTCCAGGCGATGTACATGTCCTTGCCGTAGAAGATGAGGACGTGGGTGATTAGGGCGCCGATGGCAAGGTTTTGTGTGAGGTAGCCCCAGACGGTGCTGGAGGTTAGATGGGGAATGCCCACTTGCTTTAGCTTGTCGTAGTCGATTGTGCCTTTATCTGAGAGGATAGAAGTGGTGGAGAATTGTTTGCCGTTGCTATTGAACAGAGAGGTCGACATGAATGGGAATGACTTTGCGCTCCATCTGTTGCCGTAGTAGAGGCCAAGCATCACAGGATAGAAAATCACATAGCCGATCCAGCTGTTCAGCTGCTGTTTCAATGGCAACGACAGATAGCTGCTCTGGATATACTGCCAATCGAGACCAAAGTTCAGTAGACCCAGGCCTTCGTTAGATGATGCGCCCCCAAATATCTTCGAAAAGATCTTCCGGGTATGCTGGGGGGCGTTCATTGAAGCCAGGCAGAAGATCGAGAAGCCTCCGAACCAGGTTATAATATATGCAGGGAAGACCTCCCAAATAGCGGCAAGTCCTAGAGCCCAGCCAAACTTGATCAACCGGCCCCGGTTGGCACGCTGGTCGAAATGGAGGTTCTGATAGAGCACCACCTGTGGAAGTGTGGACCAGTACACCATCTCAGCCGGGTAGACAATCAGCGGCCGGAGAACTCCAGCGAGCACAAAGCCACAGAGTGAGATGGAGAATGTTCCCAGCACTGCGGTTGTCGCCGAGACGCTGATATTGTAGAACAGGCGCTCAACGGCGTACACCTCCACTCCCGAAAGACCGTTGTTACCAGAGGAAGCAATAAGAGATGCAACGACATGCTCTTTAATGCCGAAAGGCTGTCCGAAGTTCAGGAATTCAAGTGTGCGTCGCAGCCATTTCCACCGGAATCTGTTTGGGCGCGGAGTAAACAGAGCCCAGGCTTGGCCAACCACATACACCAGAACTAGAACAGGTGTTATGATCACTAGACAGAGCCTTGGTGGGAAATTGACCTACGTTGGATGAAGATTGCCGACACTTGCATCTGCGTGGGCTTGAAGGTATAAAGCATCGTGATCACACTCGAAAGCGCAGTGAACGCAGAGCCTAGGACGATCGATCGAACAGTCAATGAAGGATCACCATCATCTCTTACGGACACGATGAACCTGGATACATCGGCGCCTGCTGGGGTTAGTCAATGGCTAGCAGCTGTGCAGATGAATGCTCACCATTTTGAATGACTGGATGTCCCTTGACATATTCAGCTTTGTCCGGTTGAGAGCCCGGGGGTTCTGCGCTTTCAGTTTCTCGCATAACATCCTTGGCCTGCTTCTCGAATCCCCCCTTGTACGACTCCTCTGCAGAGGGGTTCTTGTCATCCATCGTATTACGATTCAGATATACTCGGACGATTGTCAGATGAGCGTAGAAGGAACTCTCCGTATGGGAGAAGAGGATTCGAGACAGGTGATCAGTTATAACCGCCACGTTACATCCAGAGTGCACCGATGAGGGGTTGGCGCATACAATCCTAAAATGTCGCCATTGGGACTAATGCGGCCAAGCTTTCTTTTCGACAAATAAGCTCCTACACTTTATCTTTAAGTTGCATCGGAGTATTCCGTCTCGACCTATTGAGAATAGTGAATCAATCCTATCATTGATGGATCCATATTTCACCACTCCGGCGAATATCGCATCATATTTCCACGCGGGAGGGGCATGCTTTATTTTTCCTATTGCCTGGTTTCTTATATATCCTGTCAGTCTATAGGACCCTCCTTGAATTAGTGGGCCAATGGATAAGCCAACCGAGTTTGGATACCTTCGGAAGCCCTCCGTGTAAGTAATTTGGGATAGACAATAACATGAGGAACAGATTGATGTCCGTATAAGAGGAACGCATAGATCCTATAGCATAAAATCAATGTGTCTCTGTACACGCCGCTTGCCCCTCTAATAGGACGGCCAGAAGACAACCAGAAGACTGATATCGTTGAGAACTACAGCTGAAAGTAGCCTAAGCCCTTGGGCAGGACCTGCGATCTGGGCTTACGTACTTTCAAGGCTTTTGTCGTTTCGCATCTTTATGTACACATGGGCTTCTCCCACGTCTGACATTGAGCTAGTCGATTTGTCCTCGGGCGTGGAGGAGACATGCCATGTATGAGGCGGTTAACCATCACCCAGTCCGACAGGGAGCCCTGAATGATAGGTATCATATTCTGGTCAGCTTGAGTTATAGCATCATGTCAACTGTCTAGACAGGTCTGTCAAGTTTCAGGATGTGTATACAGTGTCTTCTTTCTAAACCTTTCCATGATGGCGAGATAGTGGGTATAAACAACGTTATATATCACTAGCCTATTAACTCGAACCTTAACTGCATAGCTAAACATCTCATGCATTAAGGAATATTTACCTATGAAGTATTTCTTATACGTCTCGGTTAAAGATCGACACAGTGAACACATCTGTCTTATAAAAAAACCTCCGAGATTAAATGCAAGTAGGTTACTAGAATATATTCCTTGACAAATAATAATCCCTCGAAGAACTTAAGCGTATTCCGGTAGTTACTTACAGTCATAGACTTCTTCCAATGTAAGCTTGTATAATACACATAGGCATATACATTGCTTTTTCCATCATAATATTGAAAGTACTATCTGCAAGTGGAGTCTCTGACCATTAAGCATACGGTTAATAAGTAGATTAGGGTACTAGTCTCAGGCATGGCACGGACGATACGACGATCTGCTATGGTCTCCCAGGGAACAATGCATGTATGACTTATCAATTATCGGAGGATTTGCTAATCAGCAATATGACATGACAATAACGCCCCGAAGACTTGATTTATGTTCAGTGGAAGGGAATATATACTGTCTATGTCATAAGTGCAACTGCCAGTTATACGTCTACTTCATTACTCCCCGATGCATAGCGTATGGTCTGCTCTCGATGACTATCTGGGAATTATGTCCATCATAATTTCCAGAGCCAACGGCCATTACTGACAGTCTGGAGCGTTAAGCGATATCGGCGACTGGATCCACGGATCGATGCCCGCCAAGGCTGGAAAGCCCTATTGCCTTCAAGAATACATCAAAAAATTATCCAGGTAGAGAGGCGTATATTGTAAGGAATTGGGTAATAGGCAAGAAAACTAACATCAAGGCATCTAGAGGACCAACGGACCAATGCATGGACATATCTCTATGCATAAATATGTAGACACCGGCCGAGACGCCTGAGGCGAAACCAGGCAACCTTGTGTCTAATTGGTTACCAGGGACATTAAACTCTGTTTGAAATGTGATAAGAAAATAGACGAATGACAGTTTAGACCAAGAATCCCGGATGATCCAGAATCAACGTCTCACTTGGCAAAGTTTACCTCGACCACGGACACGTCTGGCCAGTCACCGAGCCTTGAAATTGGTCCTATCACTGACACTCGACCAAAAGAGCTAGGAGCACAGTACCCCGCATACAAACGGAATGCAGCATCTATATGTCAGTTGTTAATGCCGAATGTCCAGGATTGAGATCTGCCGCCAGTCCCTTAGGCCAGGTCTGTGATCTCGATTTGAGGACGATCATTTCTGGAAGAATTGAGGATCCACGC